AGAATGAGTGACAAACTGTTATATTAATAATGCAAAACAATTTCGCCATGTCATCAAGAAAACAGAGACATATAAACGAGGGAAATTTTGGTTTCAACAACATAATATAATTAGAAATTTTTCATCAGGCGGAAAAATGATCAGCTCATAAAAATGACTTACAATAACTCCACAATCAAAGTAGTCGTTGTTGGTATAGGATTCTGAATTTGTGCGAAGATCCATATTTGTTAAACAGAACTGCATAATTCGGAAATCTTTGTAGTAATAAGCTTTCAGCGGCTCTTTCTAAAAAACACTGTTTGAAGTTAAGTGGAAATCGTGAAAGTGATTTAACTAAAGAATGTCGTCCTCTAATACAGTAACTGATTCGACATTTAATTCTCTTGCAGTTGTATTATAAACGAATTTGACTCTCTATACGTTCCTTCAAAGCACAGATTATGCATATCATTTGAGTCAGCTAGTACTGCAATTATAACTTCTGATTAAGAAATTTTCAGGTAACCTAAAGAATCCAGTGACAAAACCTTGACACCTACCAATCCAAAACAAACCTGAATATCGACAGCAATTTTCCCGAATTGAACAAGATATATTAATATTGCTGATTGCACTGCATCTACTGTAGATTGTATGTTGTTAACTACAACCACCAGGAAAATATTGTGCATTGGAATTACTGCTGATATCTGAAATTGATCATTACTCGCCAAATACTTCTAGCCGGAATTTTAATCCATTATTTCGTTCACTTTATTCCTTTCAACACTTTTGAAGCAATGAAGTTCACAACGCCTTTAAAATAACTGAAACCTGGAAGTTGAAATATGAAAAGTTCAATTACAGAACCACACAGAATCAGCAATCATCGACACAAGATGAATAAGTATAGACAAAAAAATACAATAGAGTAGAAAAGTTACCTCCATTGAGGTATTATCGATTACAGCTGGCAACTTGAAACACTGGACGAAGGAAATATCCATCGATGGCGTTTTGTAATTAACAGATATATAACCTTCTTTTTCATCATATTTTGCATCTGTTTTCGATGACCCGTCTAACGCTTCATTTCCCTCTCCTACAAATGCTCTTTATTAATATGCTCAGTGCAGTGCGTCTGTTAATATGACTATGCAGTAATAAACAGTTAATAGAAATATATTCATTAAAATTTGATGCAAGAAAAAAACAGTGGACAAATCAGCAAAACAGATCAACAAACCAGTGGGTAAATCAACAAAACCAGACTGCTCGTCATATGTAGAGTCAGACCATTCCAAGACTGCATCGTCAGTAGTGTCCATCAATAGTACTCCTTCCGTGAAATCAGTTTCGTCTGCATTAGAAGAATGCATCACTTTGTTTTCGGACGACTTTGAAGTCTCTAAAATAGGTTATTACCAAAAACAAGAAATTCAAGCTTTGCCTCAATTTACTTCCTCACATCTCCACATAACACCTAGCTTACGCAAGTACTTGCCAGACCAATTAGATATTAAACTGGAAAATTGCTGAACTTCATATGTCCACTTTAATCTGACCATGCATAACCATGGTCTGCGTATATATATATATATATATATACTGATGAAAAGTATGTAAAAAGTAATCGAATCTCTGATAATGAACGAATACGATTTTGAATGGACAATTTTCTTCATTCATCAGATGATTTCATTATAACTTTCTCTATATTATTCATCAATTGATCTTATTATTTCTTGAACAACACATGGAAAATACAACATTTCATTTAACTATTCCATAAAGAAACCTTGGCAGGTGGAAGGTGTGCGATTACGCGAACTAAAAGAATCTGCACAGTCAAGCTGATAAAGAGCTAGAAATGGACGGAGCGATGCACCAGAATTAATGCCATCATTGACAGAATGTGATCCGCTAACAATGCGTGGTGGCATATCGATAAATTCATGTGCTCTGTTCATTGTATTTAATGTACTTATTTCAGTTTCCAAGCAGTTCTGGTTCTGCTGACGTACTACAATTAGTATAATTATTTGATATTTCATTAATCTGTTTTAGAAACACTTTTTGAGTGGCAGCTGTTGTGAAACCTATTTCATAAGTGATTGATGTACTATTTTTGAATTGATTACTGAGATTGAGTTTATTAAGGTACAATGACAGCTAATCACTTGAAAAATGTCCCATAAAGCTACCAAAATTATTAAGTATAATATACCACTATTTAGTTTTGCATCATTTACAGAGACAGCGACAAACACTAAAGTCTGCTTCAGTTCAAATGAATTCCTTGCTATGCCTCCAATGGAAGGATCGCCAAAGCACGGACTTCCAATGGTACAAAGAGCTGTTATGACAGCCTGTAATGAATACAACAAGTCATGCGGCAAAATTTTTGAAAAATTAAAAAAAAAAAGCTTCTAGAACCCTTATCAAGAAATTGATGTTGTTATTTCATACCATATGAATTAAGAAGTCCTTTTATCTTTCTTCATTAGATGATCAAAAATGTCTAACAATTGAGGAGTTTGTTGCACTGTGTTCCATATATTTCTAATTCTTTTTTTTAAAAAAAAAAACAATTGAGCAATGCAGATGGATTAAATAAAACACGAAATTACTTCGCAACTAGCATCAACAAGCAAAGCAGACAGCACCGGTTTCAGCAAATATTCATCTGATGAGGATCCTGAAGTACTTCACGATTACAAACGAAAGCACGACATAATAACTTAGTAAGTTCCAGAAGTCGCCAGTTCCTAAAACATTTGAAGAACTACCAACCTTTTATAATGTTACCCTGCTGTGCTTCTTCATCGTCACCAGTGTTTATCAAACAGTTCCTGAAAAAAAAAGAAAAATCGGAATGTTCTAGAACAGGAAATCTAGTAGTGTACAATAACTTCATAGATTCTAATTCAAAACAGCAACATGTGTTTACGTGAGATCGTCACTCCACGTAACTCTCTGAGTTCTGCGAGGAGGCGGATCGCCTTCCACCATCATACAATCCAGAACAGCAGAAAAGAACTTCTCTGAATTTACAGTGAACCACTGTTTCACCTACAAAGATTAGATCCTTCAAGATTCGCGATTATTTGAATGGATATTAAATCCCTATCTATAAAGTCCGCTTTCACTACTCTTTCATTTCTTCCGCATCATAAGCCCCAAAAAAAAGTTGTAAAACCTATTAAAACAATGTGAAACATTAACCTGCACGACACTATCCGTCCGCCATAGATGTACTTCAGCAGATTCTTTGCTTGCAACAGCAATCCAGTCACCGCTTCCTGCCGAGAAAACAAGCGACGATGTATGACTCACTTGCAAGCGATGAATGAATGGTGATAAAGCGGACATTGTTAAAACAAATGGCACATTTGGGTTAGTATAATTATGCACAAAGCGACATTTTGGTGAATGACGTTCATGTTCAGACCTAAAACGTCTTCTTTGATGAAATTTTTGAAAAATTAAAACCCTGGTTTCAGTTTATTCGACAAAGAAGGATCAATTTCCACCATATGACTTTAAAACTTGATTTAAACTGGATTTTAAATCTTTTGCAATTAGTAATACTCAATCATTCCCAGTGCATAATCTCTCCTACACAATCCACTTAGTTGACTTTATATTTACAATTAAGTTTGAGAGGACAAGTGTAGTGTTTAAGTACATATGTATATATATATATATATATATATATATATATATATATATATATATAT